AGGCTGTGCCCGGGCAGTGGGTCTCCAAAGGGTTCGGGGAAGCAGCACTGGAGATGCCTGCCCGCTCTGAGCGAGTCTGTGGCTGCCAAGTCATCGCCTTATCTTGCAGCTCTCTCTGTTTTGGAGGAGCTTGCAATATTCTCGGCTCAGCCACAGCTGATAGGGCAGAAGATGGTCGCGCTTAAAAATCTTCTGCTGGTGTGAAAACGGAGTAGGTTTGTAACTTTAAATTTATATATTTGCATGGAAGGGGTAAGAATGCTGCCTTAACTCTCTGGAGAGGTGTAACAACGTAGTTTAACTCTATAAAGTTTCACTGAGTTCATAAACAAAAAGCTTCTTCCTCGGAGTCTTGCGTGTAACTCGTGGTGGTTCTGTGTGCCTGGGACATTGTTTGGGTTTTGGCTGTGTACTATCACACTGCAGTGCCACAGCAAGCTGAAGGACGCAATCTTAAACAAAAGCTGCTTATCACAACGTTTTTTAATTTACCAAACTCTTTCTAACAGACTGTGAATTCAAGGAAACTCCAGACAAGTCCAAGGAGACTGCAGCGTGTGTCTCAGTTACAAGTGAGAGACAGGGTCAGAGCACAGCTGTCAGGCAGGGGGGTTTGTAACTTTGGTGTCAGTATAGAGGCTGCCACATGTGAAGATGATATATTCTCTGAATTACTACTGTTCAGCATATGAGCGCAGAATAAAGAACAAAGTGTTCTTGAGTGTTGGTCAGGTGTAATAAAGTTCAGGGCTTGGCCACGGGGTGGGGAAAGTGTTTTGGAGGAACCTGTTTCGGTTGAAGGTGGCTGTGTGTTTTCTCATTTGTGAACCGAGCCGTGTCTTCTTAAGTCTCTGGCAGTAGAACAACGCTATTAAGTCCTAATTATCGAAGCTCAGCTCCAGTGGGCATTGGAGGATACACCTGCATTAGTATTTTAAATCAAATAAAGGTTGTGCTCTTGAAATGAGTTCCTGGCTGTCCTTGCTTGCCGCTCGTTGCTTCACATCACAGCGTGATCTGGGAGCACATGGACCCTTCCTTTTGGAAGAAGCTACGACTAGAAGGGGCACTTTGTCAGTCTGGACAAGAGCTAGTATGAAATAAACACCCAAACCCGTGTACAGTGTGGGTGCTGGATCCTCAACAACCGTTTATTTCTACGGAGCTGCTCCTTGTTCTGTCGTTAGTTGTTCGTTCAGGCGCAGCCTGAGCCTACCATCACTAGCAGAGCAGGGAACTTGAGTTCGGTGGTGGCACAGCAGCACCAGGGACTGGTCCCTGAGCTTTCAGACCTGTAGCTGTGACGGCTGTTGCCTAAGCTGCAAGACTCAAATTTCGGGGCTCAAAGGCTGTAGGTCAGCTACAAGGACAACAGTGAGCAAAAACCCCGCGTGGAAGAATCGTCAGCGTTGTCAACAGCTTTTTCCGAATTTTTTTTTCAGTAGCTCATTTTAATTTTCAGTTCAACAGTTTCTGTTAGTGAATGGCTCCCGAACTTGGAATGTTTATAGGGCGCTGTGGCAGCGTAAGGATAAAGAGTTTTCCTTCTTGTAAGGGTTCAGTGACTTACACAGCATAATTTTACTCATTTATTTGCTGGATCAGTAGCTGGGACTCGTTGGCATTTGTTTAATTACTTTTCCCCTCTTGCATTCACCTAGCCTGTGTGGCAATATAACGAATTAACGTTATACTCATGTTACCATGACCATATTTGAGATCTTTCTGTTCTGTCTTGAATGGTTGGTTTAAAATCTTCAAACTTGTTTTGCTCTGTTAACCTTCCTCTTGCGGCTTCCTTTCTCAGTGAACCAGCTTGATGACTGCTAGCAGCTGCTTTAAAAATGCCACTTAAAATGGAAGAAGTTTTGCATACTCTTTTTAAATCATCGTGTTCCCCAAGACACCGATGAATTGAGTGGCTGGTGTCCCTCTGTGTTAAGTAACTGAAATGGGTTGTGGGGATAAGCTGGACAGCTGAGTGCTGCTGCTCTACAGATTTATTTTTTTAGCTTTGAGTTTGTTTTCTGCCTGTTGTAAGTTAGGAAGGTTTCCACTTGCATCACTTCATTACAGCCTTGAGTTTCAGGTGTTCTGTGTTTCAATATCATGGCCAAAAAGCTACAGTAATGAGAACATTTCAAAATGTGCATAGGTAGCAAAAATGCTTTTGTGATAAAGACTTGTTTAAAAAAAAGTATTGATAACTGCTGTGTATTACCAGCAGCTATGTTAAAGGAGCTCCCATTTTTTCCTTGACTTTCCTGTGAATCAGTCCACTTTTGGGTTAAAGGGAATCATCAGTTTAAACACCTGGAGATCTGTGTTTCTGGCCTGAAAACGAGTTGCTGATCCTGTGTTCTCAAGCAAGTCCAACCTAAAAAGCTTATTAGAATCGGGTCTGTGAGTGTAGAATCCACTGAAAACTGCGAACTTGCTTTCTAGAGCCCAATCTTGGAATTTTTTTTTAACACAAGGATGAATGTGTTGTGTGAAAGTCTGTGCCATAACAATCCTTGGAAAAGCACAACTCGACTGTTGCAGCCTTTTGCCAGCAAATGTGCCGTTCTGGTTTAAAAGCCCCTCGTTGATGCCCCTTCAGCCTGTGCGTGGCAGAGGGTCTGAACCAAGCTCCTGGTCAGTTCGGGGTCTTACAGCTTGGGCTTGGCTCCAGCTTGACGGGGCCTTAGTGCTTTAAGGGGGCTGGACAGAGGGCAGCAGGAGTCTCTTTGGGGTGAGAAGCATAGACTAAGTTGCCTGATGCAGAGGAGGAAGTCCAAGCTGTTCTCCCCGAAAACTTTCTTCTGCCTTTTATTTTAGAGATGGGGAAATCCCTTTCCCACCTGCCCATGCACACGTGCAAGGAGGAGGGCTACGATGGAGGCTCGGCATCCGACAGCATGAGGAACGGGCTGGTGCACTCGGAGTCGCACAACGAGGACGGCCGATGTGGGGATGTCTCGCAGTTCCCCTACGTGGAGTTTACAGGGAGAGACAGCGTCACCTGCCCGACTTGCCAGGGAACAGGAAGAATTCCACGAGGTGAGTTTTCTTTATTTCTTTCTTTAACCTGTAAATTTACCTCATAACCACGTAACAAATAGCTCTCCTAGTCAAGATGAAGGTGTTTTCATCTTTTGGACACTTTGTCACTAAGCATTTTGTTCCGATGACACTGGATGAGCAAAACAACCTGAGTCAGCTTTGGCTGTTACCCATTGGGTCACCTCCTCTGAGCAAAGCCAGTGTTCCTTGCTTCTTGGCTTTAAATTCACACATAACCCTGGCTCTTGCAAGCTCAATTTGCAAACCTTTTTTTTGGTGACATTTTATTGCGTCTTTTTTTTTAACTACCTACTTTAAACTGTTTGAATCAATACATAACTTTGCAAAAATGGCTGCAAATACAGAGAGTGAAACCTGTGCTACGCCACCTTTTGCCTGCTCATTTGTAGTGGATTTTCTTGCCTTCACTACTGTTGGTGCCCCTCGATTTCCGATCCCCTCCCTTTGTCCCATCTGTCCCTGCTAGGCAGAGGATCCCAGCTGGGAGCTGGAAAACTGTAGGATCTCTGGCTGCCCTGTAGGCCGTACAGCGTTAGTCTTCATGCCTGTTTGGCTTGCTTGCTGCCCTCATCCTTTGCTTTTCCTTTCAATAAAACGTTCTGCTTTGTTACGCTTCTCTGCTACACGATAAACCACCTGGCTAGCTGTGTAGGAAGAGACCTGTGGAAGGGGAAGGCAGGAGGATGTCTGGAACTGAGCAAAAGGAGAGCGTGGGAGATGCAGCATGCCAAGGCACAGCCTCCTGCTTCAGCTGTGAGACCTTTCCTGCGACGGGGGGAGGAACCGATGAGAAGGGTTCCTCTTTGGGACTGCTTTGCTTTTGCCAGAACTCTTAACCAAGATAGATTATTGGGTGTGAAAGCTCTCAGAATGGATTTTGGCCAGCAGCTCAGGCAGATTGACTGATGCCTGTGTCACGTTGTCCTTGTACATGTCAGGTTAGGTTCTGGTACGGTTCACAAATACTTCTGTCTCGCCTGCAAATAAGTGGCAGGGGCACAGAATATTCAAACAGTGGCAAATACAGGAAGAGGTTTGTGGTTTAGCTGTTAAACTTGATTATACTGCAGCGTGTTCTTTGAGTGCCTCTGAATTCAGCAAATTTTGAGGTGCAGAAAAGCTACGCAACTGGAAATTACCTTAACTGAAAGACTAGACAGAAGGAAGTTGGCACTGTTAGCTTGCTGACTTGAAATACTTGGTATCAGCAGCCAGTGTTACTCAAAAGAGTGCTAGCTAAAGTGCAGTAATAACGGGATTCCTCTGTTCAAAGGCTTATTTCTTTGACAGTAGGATTCTTGGCTGTAATACTTAAACAAATGTGAGGCAATTAATTTATTGAGCATTTTGCAGTAATTATTAAAAATGTGTTGTCCATCCATTCTAGTGAAATAATGTGATTAATGCTAGAACTTTAAATGAGTTATTAGAGCACATAGGACTCTCTTTTTAATTATTCCTCAGTACTTTAAGGGGGCAAAAAAGGATGTTTGGGGTTTTTTTGAGGGGAGAGGGGGGGAAAAACTAAGTGTTCACAGAATGACTGCATGACTAGTAGGGAAGACTAGTACGTTATATGATGGCTAAACTGTATAACAAACACATGAAATTGTGTTTTGTTACTGGGACAGCTTTAGCTTTTCAGTCTGGTAAAGCATGAAAGTACATTGTTCAAATGTGTTAGGATGTTTCATTGAAGCTGAGATGAAAATCTGTTTTAAATTGGTAGAAGTTTCTGAGAAGGTTGATGTTGCGTGCTACTGCCCGCTTGGTGAGCGCGCTTTGCTGGGCTCTGTGATTCAGCACGGAATCACTTCTAAGTGGTTGATTAGCTGAGTGATAATGCTGGTCAAATTCTGCATTTGGCTTAAAAAATTCCAGTCTGGCATGGGCTTGAGGCCTGTCCTCATACAGATGAAATTCAGTTCTGTTTTCTCGTACAGCAAAGAGCAGAAGCTACACCGGCAGGTGTAGGCTGTGTATTTTCAACAACTTGTCTTTGCTTGTGTCCTTTATTTCTGCTGCTAAGATATCCCCCTTTTAAAAATGCTGTCTAGCGAGGTAACTTGTGGCTTAGAGAAGTTCCAAATCACCTCTGACTTCCAGGGTGCTGCAGCTCAGTCCCGTGAGAAATGGTGGTACCTGCCAGTGATATCCAGAGCGCAGCAGCGTGTGCGTAACTTGGGTTGCCAAGGCCACCCAAACTGGTCCCTGTATTTGGTTTTGCACAAACCTGCCTCCAGCTCTTCAGAAGCACGACATGTAGAGTGCCTGCTGGATCAGTCCTTGCTGCCCGAGCTGCTGAGTGGTGTGTCCCGAGAGTGCATGCAGCACCGAGGCAGGTTGGTCGCTGGTTTGGGTCTGTGTGCGCTTGGTGTTTTCTCCTCTCACTGTGTCAGCTGTGCTTTCTTTTGGGAAATGATGTCAGCTGCAGAAGTGTTCCCTGCTCGGGCTGTTATCTGGAATTTAAATGTTTATCTCTGGTGCCATTAAGCTATAAGGGGCGCTGTTTGTTTGAAGTAACTGCAACAACACTTATTCTTTGTTTGTTTCCATTCTGAAAGGGTGTTTTTGTTTCCAGGGCAGGAAAATCAGCTGGTAGCGTTAATTCCATACAGTGACCAGAGACTGAGGCCAAGAAGAACGTAAGTTAATAGTTAGTTGTGATACAGGAATCTACAGTTAATTCTTCTCTTCTAGTTAAAATTCAGCAATTTAAAGGAGACAGTGTTGAGAAGAATCCAGCAAAAAATCACTGGAATGTTTTCTTGCATTCAGTATTGAAAGCACCTGGCTTGTGGGTAAACAGCCTTAACCTCTAACGCTTGGAGAGTTATTTATTAAGAGGTGTGTGTGCTCCCGTCACAGTATGTCTTATGAAGCTGAGTAATACTGTGAGATCTCTTCAAGTACATATTTATCTGAATCTCTACAGTAATTATCCAAGTATTTATCCCTGTCTGTAGCCTCTTAATTGGTGTAAGCAGATGCGTCTTCGGTGTTAAAGTCTGAGTAAAGTGATACCTTCTTTGGGCCACTACAACAAAATAAGTCACCTAGCAAAATCAACAAATTCATCATCCTAATATAGCATATTTGATTTTTTTTTTTCTAGTATCTACTTAAAGGTTTAATTACAGTGCTCGGGGCTCCTTGTTTTGACACTTTTTGGTGGCGGTTTTTTTCCTTAATGTTTGGAGGTTTTTGTCATAAACAGAAATGAGTGCCAGGAAAAAAAAATGACAGTAACTTCAGCTAATACTATCCTGGGTCATGTATCTAATGTAACAGTAGCACAAACTTGAAACCTGTGTTATAGTAGTGGTACTCATGTAATAGCAGTACAAACATGAAACAAACTTCAGTGTTCCGATTTTGAGACAATTGGAGCTGCAGTAGAGCCTTTTATCTGTGTTTTTTTATCACGCTCCCCTTCCCCCTTCTATACTTAGGTTATTTGTGAATTTCCTGTTCCTTAGTGGGAGTCTTAACACTTTCCCTGAACGTCTTTTATGCCAAAGAATCCCATGTAAGGCGTAGGAGAGCTTTAGTCCTCTTTCTGGGTGTGTTCTGCGGAATGACAACAGCTCTGCTAGTGCTTCAGAGCACATAAATATTTACCTTTTCTGTTTTCCTGTTGAAGTTACTAATGTTGGGGTAGCCACATGTTTTGAAACTTGGTTCCTGATGTATATACAAGAGTTAACGCCTGTGTTTGAGACCTGGCTGTGCAGTGCAGCATGTTTGGGGTTTTTTTGCCCTTTTGGAAGCTAAGGGAAGCTAGAAATAGATGGAAGTGGTTGTATTGGCTAGTCATGCTCCTTATCAGCTAAAGGAAAATAACATGCTGCTGTTTAACATACTTTTGACTCTGAAATGTGCTCTTTTTTTTCCTCCAGAAAGCTCTACGTGACTGCTTCTGTCATTGTGTGTTTACTGCTTTCTGGGCTGGCTGTATTCTTCTTGTTCCCTCGCTCAGTCGATGTTGAATACATTGGTGTGAAGTCAGTGTATGTCAATTACGAACAGGGCAGACGTATAATATACCTAAACATCACGGTAAGTGTAGCTGTCTGGGTGTTTGACGTGGATCAGTGCAGCAAGAGACACGGCTGTGACTGTCTAGTGTACGTAGAAATTCTGGTCTAGGTGGTGAGCTTGGTTAGTGCCTTAGAGATACAGGCAGATACAGGGACCAGTTTGGAAAACATAACTGGACCAGCTGTGGCTGGTTCCTGTAGCTAACAGAGGTGTGCCTGGAAGCTACTGTTGGGTCTTCTGTTTTCATGGGAGCAGAGACCTTGGAGTTCTCTGCGTTGTTTTTGGAATAGGAATGAAAAATAGTGTGTGTGTGTGTGTGTGTGTGGGAATGCTATTAAATGCTGCCCCGGTAGTGTGCATCTGCCAGATTGGTTTTGAGGAGAAATGATTTCTTATCCCACTTAAACCATACAGGAGTATTTTCCACATACTTGTTGGTAATGCAGTGACTACGGGATTGCCTGAAGATGTCTGGTAGTTCCTCGTTGTAGACAAAACAAAGCAGCCATGGGCGAAAAGGGCCCTGTGATAGCTGTATTTCCTGGAAGGAATCATTGGGGATAGGAAGAAATGCAGTATTAGTGGTGGAGGGTGGTGACCAGGGAAGTTGTGCAGAAGTTTGTGCTGCTCGATATATTCACAAAAAAAACCCACAACAGAGAAAGAGGTTACATGATGGTCCCTTTCCCCTCTCCCCAAGCCTAGAAGGCAGGAAAACGTACTTGCATCACTTCAGGAATGGCTGTCTCGAGCACAAACTTCAAAATGTGTGCTCCTCAAGGCACACAGAGTGGATAGCTGCTAGTGTTTTGTGGGGGGGTTCTGTTGTTTGTCTTTCCAGAGCACGCTGAATATAACCAACAACAACTATTACTCCGTTGAAGTGGCGAACATCACAGCCCAAGTTCAGTTTTCAAAAACAGTGATTGGCAAAGCACGACTGAACAACATCACCAACATTAGTCCTCTGGATATGAAACAGGTAAATAGGATAGGTGTTCAAAGCTGAATGCGTGTTAATCTTCTTGTGTAAATCCACTGATTTTTGTTTTCATTGTGGCTTGTTGTTTGTTTTTGTTTTCTTTTTAGATTGACTATATGGTTCCCACAGTCATCCAGGACGAAATGAGCTACATGTTGTAAGTGTCCTCGCTGCTACAGATCGCATGGGTCTTATTAAAAGTTACAATGG